AAATCTGTTATTTTTCCAACACAAAAAAAATTTTCGCATGCAATTTTCTAATAACAAAGTTTCCGACACACACCGAACGGACTCAAATAGATGTCCTCCGTCGACGATGCCGTATTGAGTGAAGGTGTTGGCGTAGGCGGATCATTAAGACCATCATCAAAAAAATCATATTCATTACTTGTTTCAAACGAAGCTAACGAGGAGGTTGAGGATGTTGTGGAACAGGATGGAGACGAAAGTGTTGAGTATAGTGGTTGTGGTTGTGGTTGTGGTTGTGGTTGTGGTTGTGTTGGTACATTGTTGGGAATTTCAACTTGGTTAGCAAAACAATCATCAATAGCATCTACTAGGTTTCCATCATTGGATTCATGGGGATCAGGTGTGACTGAACATGTAAAGGGAATAACAAAAACAAAAACAAAATACTGTCCGTTAACAAAAAGCTTAAATATAAAAAGTTGCAAAATATTTTGTAATTACTTGCGTTAACAACGTTGCCCAACAATGGTGGCAGCGCAAGCGGCTTGCTGCCGGCTGCAGTTTCATGGCCCGATGTCGACTTCTTTTGCACATCGGCGTGACCATTCAAAAGATCTAAAATGTGTTCTTTTTGAGCCTTCAAAACCTCACCCTTTGTTTGTACTGTTTGGAAGAGCGGCACAAAAACAAAAAGTTATGCAGATTTTTTAAGGAGCAAAAACAGAAACATTTGAGGGGGGAAAAAAACAAAAGACTATCCCAATGCTAATGCGATTAATTTTGAGCCAAGAGAAATTTTTTTTAAACAAAACTAATCCCCTATTCTCTGCCTGTAAGGAACGAGAACAGTGATTAATAGCAGAAGTAAATTTAAAATCGCAGTTGTATATATATTTCGGTATTTGCTCGCATTATTTACAAAAAAAAAAGTCTTAACTACATAAAATATTAATTCAAAAATTCTGTTATATAAAAAAGTATTGCTTAACCAATGCTCAGAGCGCGCCATAACAAGTTAGTTGAGTTTAGAGCTACTTAAGTTTGTGTATTTTCTTTTTTTTTCGTTTTCGTTGCAATTGTACATCAAATAGATTTTTTTTTTGGTATTTTTGTAAATATATTGATACGTATGCATTTGTGTAAATTTGTGGAAAATAAGCGCTAAGGTATCATAACATAACTTTAACGATAAGGCGTAACTTAGTAGTTATATCCATTACCAACTACCGCCATTCCCCGAAGTTCGTCACTGTTCTTCGGCCCATTTTCCAGCGGTGTGTGCGGCGATTTTGGCGACTTTGTTACAGATTTACCATTATCCAATGAAACCGCATTGTTTTTATCATTATGATTGTTAGTGTTGTTGGAAACTGAATTATTTTCTTTTTCTTCGACGTTGATTTCAATTGCTGGTATTTTCTGTTCTTTGGGTGATTTCGTTTCTTTCGGTTTCCCGTTCAAGTTTAGGCCTTTGGCATTCTCATCGCTGCTATCCTGTTATAGAGAGGGGGAAAAAATTATGACTTTTTACCTATTTTAAAGCGAAAGAAAGTTAAGGGTAATTAACACTAACAGTCCACTTGAGTTCCGTTAATGTAACGAGTGTAGATTTTTATTCAATTTTTTTTTAATAACTTGCCAAAAATTTTTGTTTTGCAGCACATAAATTTATACGATATTATTTTCGCGCTTACCATATTATATTCTCCCTGTGTATCATTTGAACTTATGCCAGATTGAGTGGATTCATTGTTGGTGTCTTCTTCCTCTTGAATCGGTACATAGTCAGAGTCATCAGCAGAGCTTTCGTTCGCATATTTAGATAGCAAATCACTGCAGCTCAAATCCGCTTCGGGTGCATCATCTTCACGCTGGCGTTTATAAGTGAAACGTGGAGATTCACGAGACTGTGTATTAAATAAAGTATAAAAACAAAAAAAAAAAAATTTGAATAAACTATTAGCAAAATTTATTTAGTTTCTGTAATACAAAAATACACCTGTAGGATTTCCTGCAAGCCAGTTTTGTGTGCCGCAAAGACTACGCCGGCGGGTTCACAATTAATACGCGGCCGGCACAAAGCGATCGTAAAGAGCTGTCCCAACTTAACCATCAATCCGCCAACTTTTTCATTTTTCAGCGCTTTGCGTGTATGTTCGCGTTGTTGTATCGCCTTAAGACCGTGTACGCGAATTGAGCGCAGCTTACGACGACGCGTTTGTATAAAATAGACAAGATTGTGGGCGGTAACTGGACCATTACCTATAAGCAGAGCGCCCAGCGATAGCCAAATACGAAATTGGCGTAGAAGTATGATGACCATAAGAAATGGTAACCACGGTAATGGACGCACCAAGGGAACATCTGCGGAAGTACAAAAAAAGAAGTAGCAACATTATTTTGCGCTTGCTTGCCCCCCGCTGCCGCATAAACTCTCTATTACCATGTGGCAAACTCCACTTTGTGGTATCCTCAAAGATGCGAAGCACTCGATCACCACGCTCCAGCGCAAATTGACCGATGCGCGTTGATGCGAACTTCTCCATCATTTGGTAGACTTTATCGAAGAGTACACTGCCGCTAGTGTCGGTGGCTTCTATGATTGGTTCCAGTTCATCTTCCTTGTTGGCAACGGCGTTTGTATGGTTTTCACGCTGCTGCAGTTGCGTTGCTGGATGTGGTTCTTTGCCTATTTCTAGCACCATTTTAAAGTAGGAAAGTTGCTTAATGAACTAAGTTCAGCTGAAAACGAATTATAAATACAATAATTAAAATGACAACGCTTGTAAAAACTTTTGCTTTTTTTTTCAAAATATAAATGCATGTGTGTTTGTATGTACATATGTACATACATATATGTATGCATGCATTAGTTATGCGGTGTTTATATGTATGTAGTGCACCATTTGCAAATCAATTTTCTTATCACTATATTTTTGTTAGCACGGATTTGTTTTCTATTTACATATATGTAGGTACTACTCGTATATTTGTAGCTATATGTACATATTAGGAATGTTAATCCCGGGATCGCGGTCTTTACTAGGTCCCGAAAATGCCGTGACTCCAGGCAAATAATCTCGGGTTTTTTGGGATTTGTAATTTGCACTGATGGCAATAATATAAACTTCATTTTCTTGACCAATATTGGCTATATTTCTGACGACAGTAATTCAAAAATTATTTAAAAAATGCAGTGAAATGTGCTTTGAGAAGAAGTATGTGTATAAAATTAAAGAGAAAATTCTTTAGAGTTTAATCAGATTAAATTTTTTGGTGGATAAGAACTGGTAAGTATTGAAACTGTCCGTTTAAAATTTTATCCTTGAAATTTCGCAATATTTGTTTAAAAAAAAAATTATATGTTAAGCAGTTATATAAACTCGATAACATCGTCGTATGTTATCCTTCTAACTTTATCAGCTTAAAAAATTTGCTATTCGTCCTTCGGAATACAAAAAATTTTAACTTTTTAAATTTTAAAGAAATTTCCCCTTTCATTTGGTACCCATATTTTTATTCTACATTGCATTGAACTTTTGAAATAATAATTGGAATCAATCATGTCTTTAAAATTACAAAGTACTTTAAAATAAATCCTGACGTCAGAAAGAAAAAATAAGAACGCTACTTTAAATAAAAAAGTAGGTTTCAAAACCATTTTTTATTATATTTATTTTATGGTAGGATTTTCGATTTAAGTTGTTGAAAAGTAATGAATATCTAAATCCCGGGACTAATCGCGGGATCCCGGGATTGTCACAACCAAATTAACATCCCTAGTACATATGTATGTATGCAAATGTACCCTCTGATTAGGCATAACGCCAGCATCTGAGCTAGGTAAAACGAGACAAAACTTATGCTGAACTTGACTCATAGAATCGGCGAGAGCAGACGGCGGAAAGCCTCGATTTCTAGAAAAAATTGGTAAGGTAATCGTAATTTGCATAAAAATCATAGCAGTAAACACGCAGCGAACACATACATACATACATACATTTGTACGACATATTTAAACAAAATTAAGAGAAGAGGAATTATGTTGCTGTAGAAAATACTGAACTTCGCACCTCGCAAAACTACACATGTATGTATGTAGGTACGTACGTATGTATAATCCCGCAAATGTAAATGGTGGCCCTCCTTATCAGCGTAACTGTTTAAAAGTTTAAAATTAAGTGTAGCTTGTTTTTGTGGGTGAGATTTTCATTATCAGCAATCGCTGTTCTCTACCTACATACATACGTATGTACATGCGCGCATATTTGTAAGCTGAAGAGCGCATGGAATTATTTTTGAATTTTCTACAATTTCAAATTTTACTCACTTTAAACGTTAATTAAATGTTTTGTTGGTTGGTGCAAGTATAATTGAAATTAGGCGCTAAATGTTTTATATTATTTTGTTCACGTGATAGCGTAAATAATACTAAATAATAAACACATATAGTATATGTGTATGTACTTATGTGTGGGTATACGAACCCTGCAGAAAAAATTAACAATTGATAAAAATAACACACTTGTAGTTAGGTTTTTTGCGGGATTTTCATAAAAAATATAACTTGTAGTTATCTACAAAAAGCTAACTTGAAACTAGTTGACAAGTAATGCAGGAGTAATGCAGACGTAATCGGGAGCTTGTTTTCTTTAGACAAGTTTCTATTTAGATATCCTCATACAAATTTTATTTTGAATGACTTTCTTTCTGGACTTCACAAATACTTTTTCGAATTGAGGACAGATAAAAGGAAGAACGAAATTTTATATTATCATTTTCGAATATGGAACCACTTACAGCAGAATATGTAAACAAATATGTAATGTAATAAAATAAAGTAAATAAATAAAAAAGTAAAAAAAAGAACAAAAAAACATTTTGTTACAAGTTAGTTGACATTTTACCCTTGACTATTTTGTGGCCATCTCCATAGAAATATAGTTAGCTTTCCTCAAAGAAAATATACAGCTAATAGTTACCTTTATTTCCTTCCTAATCAACTTTATGTTAACTTATAGTTTCATACATTTCCCGCAGGGTATGTTGGTATACACTTACATGTGTATGTGAATTCAACATTTACGGCGCACATACATATATGCGCCGGGTGCCTGGTGCAATGGGGTCAGCGATAGAATAGATCAAGAAAGCTTTTTTGAACTCTTAGCCCCTTCGAAACCGAAATAAATGTAAATATAGTGCTTGGCACAATCATATGCCACCCACATATGAACACGTTTTGACTATTATTTTTTATTTAATTCTAATTAAATTATTTTTTTAATATATTCACTAAATACGCGTATGGCGAAGTCTCGCACAACCGAGTTCAGCTAATATTTTTAGAAAAATGATTTCAAATCCTTACTTCCTTACTAATATTACAAATCCGAGAGTGAGTTTGTTTATTTGATACGCTTTCAAGCTTTAACTACTCAACCGATCATCAATAAATTTTGTATACTGGTCTCATTCGGCTCAGATTAAAATATAGCATAAATCTAATCTCGATTGGACAAAGGAGGCGCGGCACCTCCCATACAAACGGCATTTTTCATACTGCTTATCGCAGGATATATTTGTGACAGAGTACTCGAACTTGGTATGGAGATACATATATAAAATCAATTCCACACTCATGGAGGATGGCTGCCACCTGTTTAAAAATCAAATTCAACTTGAATTAAGGGAATTATTTATTTGAAAATTATATTTTAATAATTGACGTCTCAAGGCCTAAAAGTTGTAGTTTGAAAAGTCGAATTTCAACTAATTATTCGCAAGCAATCTGAAAATTTTAAACATGGGTGTCAAACGAAAGATTGTTAAGAAACCTTCAGATTGTACATTTAGAATATTATTGAGTCGTTTTACTAGGTTTGCCACCCGATTACAAATCAAATTCAATTAATTGAAATAAATTTCTACAGTATGGGTGTCAGTCGAAATAGTTTTGGAAAGGGTGTTAGTTCTAAACTACATGAAGGACGGTTTCCAAATGCATAACAAAGGGTTAATTTCTATGTTTATATTTTTTGACATTACAGTCAACTATGTGAGAACTCGACTGAGTTCTCACTTCTATCTTGTTGAATATGCCTTGCACCTAATGCAGCACGCAAAAATTTCATACGCTCAGCGAAGCGGGTGATGGCGATCTAGAAGATTTAATAGTCGCAACTTATCAATATATGGGTGTCGTATAATTGTAATAAGCACTATTTGCATAATTATGAGAGATTGTAGGCGTTAATCTATGCATTTTTGTATACATCTCGTATGTGCCTGGTTCAACGGGGTCAGCGATAGAACAGTTCAAGAAAGCTTTTTTGTGCTTTAAGACTTTTTGAAACCGGAATAAATGTAAATTTTACATAACTAGTTTGTGGGCGGTTATCTATTCATTTGGGTATATGTATTCATAAACAAAGGTATTAGTATAAATTTAATAAACAAATGTATGTATAAACAAATGTATTAACATTCTTATTTATTCAAGGCTGCCCTACATCTTGTCTTGTATTTGGTGAAGCTTTTTTAAACATGAGTGTCATGGGGTTAATATGTGCGTTATTCTGAGAAGAGACAGACCGATGCGGGTACCGAGTACAGAATAACGATACACTTCATGAATTCTGAGCAGTATCGAGAGCTCGATGGTATTTGATGAGTGCTGAGTAAGAGTTGAAAACACTAAAGAGCATAGACGTGTTAAAAAATGTTTTTAAGTAACAAAAGTTTTATTTTAATCAAATACGAAAAAAAAAATTATTCCTTTATTTCTGGGTTCTAAGCAAGTTCTAAAAACGGTTTTGAGTTTTAGGAATTTGCATCCAGAATCATAATTAGCATCGCATCGTCGTTCTGAAAAACCGCGTAACTGACATTTTTTGCCAAAAATTAGATTTGCTCAGCGAAGTTGTTGGCTCAAGCCTTATCCACTCTTCCGGAAATATACTAGCCATAAATGTGATTGCTTTGTAAAAGAGAGAACAATTTTGAAATGTTGATATGCGGTTTTGTACTTTAAACAACGGTATGTATATACACTCCAATGACGCCTTCATATTTGGCGACCCCTTTCGATGATTCTGTAGCGTCTATGCACCAGTAATTGCTGCTGCAAGGGGACGTGTGTCTTGGTTTGCGATATGAATGCCGATTCTTCTGAATTCTTTCCAGAAATGGGTTCCCCGTGACACTTGGGATGGATCTACCAGTTAGAGACCAACTTTGGTGAATAGCTGAAAATTGCCAAAAGTGCCTCAGCCCAATACACCTCTTTTTGCTGTCGACGACCCTCACCTAATGAATAAAGACTACATCTAATATAATACTCACATCGCTGCAGTACAGAAATACGAAAATACATACATACATCCCATATAAATCTAACCTCAAACACGTCATAAAAATGTCATTAAAAGTGCACCGAAGAATATGATAGTCTGAAATTTTACCCATATGTTATATAACCGATTTATTTTAAAGCATGGCTGCCATAAAAACTCCGAGACTCCGAAATTGTGTCCATATATTTACAATTATGTTATGTGAAACCCTCAAAAATTGATCCGTTTATTACAAAGCATACCCATACAAACCTACCCTCAAAAACGTTTTAAAAAGGCCGTAAAAAGCGTACCGATTAACATATGATTCCGAAATTTTCTCCATATATTATTAATAATATTATAACTAAACATCCGGAAAATGGGAGTAATCGATTTATTTTAACA